TCAAGAGTCTTCAATGAAATGGTCCCAAGAAACAGAGGTAAAGACTAGTAGGCAATGGGGAATGGGTTGAAGTCCTCTGACATTATAGAGGGTAACAAGAATAGCTTTAGCCTTGGCAAATGAGCCAATAATTGTATTAACAGCATCTGGGAGAAATTAAGCATGTCATGACTGTAAGAGATTTGGAGAGACTGAAACAGTGATTCTCAATGTACGGTGCAAAGAAGCATCTCCACAGGAACCTTTCTATAAAGATCTTTTATTGTCCTCACCCAGTTAGCATTTGCATCTTTAGGAACATATCACCTGCAATGCCCAGGATGGCTGTTGACCCAGTGAGCCCTGACAGAACTCAAGTGCAGTTAATATAGTACCTGATAGGAATGATGGGCTGCAGAAACATAACATGATATTAACCAACAGCTCTCAAACATGGGAAAGAAGCTGTCCAGACTGCATACAGACTCAGACAATTAGAAAAAAGAAAAGGGAAAAGCAGAGTTGAGAAGGTATGAGAGATGGAGGGAGAAAAGTCCTTAAAGGCAATGGTAGTATAGAAAATTACGCTGCTTTAATCAGCACATATGAGGAACCTCAGATTTCACCTTGTTGTGTCTAACCACAAAGCACTTACATCCCATCTACTACCCGACTTACAGAGACCAGAAGATTGTCCTTTGGCTAGTCCCCTGCATTAAACAGAAGCTAGGGAAGGCCAAAGTTCTATTGGAAGACAATCAAAACAAGAGAAACAGGAAAAATCCATTTCAGCATGCCTCTGTAAGTCCTATGTGTGTGCTGTGTGTCTGACTACAGAACAATCCTGGATTCTGCCACTCCTGGGTGGCTTAATGGGGGTTCATTTATCAGGACTGACATTACTTCAAGATTCAGAAATGTCTGAAGGGTTTTTCATCAGTTTAGAGAATTGCCTTTCCTATATAACTACAAAACCATCACCTACACCTTAAGGCCAGATCCTGAGTACAGATTGACTCCCAAGGTATAACAATACCTCCTCTGGTGTACCCATCGATGTTTCCATTCAACTTGACCCATTGTTTCCCTCCTCCAGTGTCCAACCTCAGCCTCTTCGTCAACTTACAGCCTACAAGAACAACAACCATGGGCCAAACTCTAGGGTGGGTGCTATAGAAATAATTGAAGAAACTCAATGCATGACTCTTGCCTACCCTCAGGAAGCTTACAATCCTGTTTGTAGGTGCCAGGACACCTGAGCCACTGATTTTGCAAGGAACAATTAATTACATACATGGCACAGCAACACAAGAGATATCAGCATTCACAGGAAGGGGCAAGCCGTAGGGACTGGCACATTTATGCCCAACTTCATTGGGTTTGCCTAACAAGAGCTCTCTCTTTCCTTCTAGATCGCTCATTCATATTTTTCCTTTAGCTTTACTCAAAAAAAAAAAATTCTCTGTCCTTTTGGTTTCATTTCTCATGGCCTTCCCTATACAAATCCTCTTTTTCCTACAATGCCAGGAAACCACTCCTTCACTCATGTAAGCAACCCTTTCCTTTTGCAGAAAATGATTCTTTAGCCACTTAAAACTACAACAAACTACTCAAGTGGCCTCACTGGGAAACTATTTCTAACCTCTATAATATCCAGGCATGTTGAAAGGTACATGTGAAAGCTTTCTCTTCCCCTCTGTGTCTGTGCCTACTTGTTCTATTGACTCAGTGAACAGAGACAACATCTAATTATATTTTCCACCAAAACATTAACATGTTATTAATGCTTAGCAAGTAAGAAAAATAATGTCTTTATATTCCCATTTTTTCCACTTCAGGCTTTCATATGCAAAAAGAGATTTTAAAAATATAGCATGGAAGAGTTTGGTCCATTAGACATATATCAGGTTTTTCTGTCCTCCTATACAAAGGTTCAGCCTTTTAAATGGAGCATGCAGCTATTAAGCATTAACCCATCTGTTCTGTTTCTCTCTTTTATTTCAAAGGACTGGCACACAAGTCTCATAGCAAAAGTCATATGAAGGCTGTTCTTTTCCCAACAATACACCTTGATCACTACCAATGGACTGTCACTCAGAAATGCTCAATTATACTGTTAAGTTCCCCAATGCTTAAGAGCCACATAAGAGTACAACATCCCCTTTCCTTTACATTCTGACCCCACACTATCCCTAACATAATACTGTGCACCTCCCTTCCCTAACACAAATCCTCCCTCCTGCCAACCCAGCTTCTGCAGTGCTCCTTGGAGATACCAAGACTTCTCATTCCAGCAACTCTTAACTTAACCCATCCATCAAGGTCTAGTTAGTTCATGACATACCCAACAAATCTTTTTTGACCACAGTAGCTCTTGGTGGTGACTCACTCTTTAGAATTTGGCATATGAAAAGATCTAAAAATTTAACAACATGACATGGCAGATATCAGAAAGTCAAATGGACAGAAGAATTAACACTGTTTATATCGCATCAGATCAGCAGCTCCTTAGGAGCAGGCAGCAGAATTCTACAGATCACGTTCTCAGTATCACACACGTATTTATACCACACTGAACTACCCATGGCTTTTCTCCCAATGAAGTTTATGAGCTTCTTGGGGGCAGAGACTATTTCTAACACAGCTTCAGAATCCCCTGCAATAACTAACACTAATAGTGCTGGACATGCAGAAAGTACACAGCAGATTCTTTTTGATTTGCCCCATAGGGAAGCTGGGAATAATTTCTAGTTGAATAAAATCAAGTTAAAGCAATACATCAGTGATAGAACATTGAGACTCAGTGTGACAACATTTTCAATGAATTGAGGGGATTTCAGACCCATAGAGACCCACGCTTCATGCAATTTCAGCAGAGAGAGTGTATGTGGAAGGAGGGGGCAAATGAATTGGATCAGATTATCAGTTCTCAAATGGCCTTCAAAATCATCTGATGGAAGCCATCCTCTTAGAGATGAAGAAGTGATTGGGGAAGCCTCCTGACTGAAGCTAGAAGACCAGAGTTCTCATGAGGCATGAGCCCCATTCACATCCCTAGCTGCTTTGCAGAAAGAGTACACATGCTGTTTATCTCTGAAAGAAGTGCCCCACCTCTGCCTGGAAGCAGGGAGTGAAACATCATTCAGAGTCCCTATCCATAGTTAACAGCAATGCATTTAATGTTGTTTTGATGATGTGTAACACTGTTAATTGCAGATCTATTGTAATTGCTTTCTTTTCTCTATCTCATTTATGCTACATGCAACAAATAGTAACACATCATCTATAATTAAACTGTGCCCAGCAAGGATACAGAGTGGTAACAGGAAAACTTGAGTTCAAATAACTAAACCATTAATTGAGCAGCTAAGATCTTTTTCTTTAAAAATTTTTTTTCAATTTTCTGACATTACTTTTCTAGCTCAGGTAACAATAAAGCAGTGCTGGACTGTGCTACCAGGATATTTTTGTAAACAGATGCTAAGTGTGCATCTGGGATGTGCAGGCACTGTTCCAGGAATTACGGAAGATCAAATGAATAAAACTCTGTTTCTGTCCTAGAGAATCTAGTAAGATGATTAAAAATGAACATAAAAAATCTAATAAAGGGAGAACATAAAGGGCTAAGAGGAAGCTATGGAATGTAGGAGCAGGAACAAATTCCCTGATTTTTCTTAACTGGGGAAATCATATTAATAAAACCGTGTATGTTTACAAAGCAATATTCACAGAAATTAGAAAGTTCTTAACTTCAAAAGATGGATATCTTCCATTTGAGGAAATTCTTTCAAGTTCACATTTACTTCTAACACTTGATTGCCTACTTACAAAAGAATATGCTAACTTTTTTCACAGGTTCTGATTCTTAAAAGTTGTCTCCGAAGAGCAAGTTTTATTTGCCCTCATCAGAATATTGCTGCAATGGAGTTAATAATGAAAAGCAATATAATCACGTATGTTATAGCACACTTTACAGCTTCCAAAGCATTTTCACAAATACTATTTCAATAGGTCTCGTTTGGTCCCCCACAAAATCCTGAGAAGTACACAGGGTCAGTTTATTGTGTTTCTGGGCGAGTACATGTGCATGTTAATATTGTTTTCTTCATTGTGCACAGAGGAACTGGAGGCTCAGAGGAGTCTGGTGAGTGACAGTGACAACTGGCATTTGTCAGACTTGTCAGACAAAAAGAAAATCGCTGGCTAAGCCCTCCAATCTAAAATTAATCACAAGTTATTACACTTGAAAACTCATGTTCCCACTGGTATATGTTCTCTCAAAAAGCAAATATGCCCTGGGCAGCACTCAGCGTCCAGGGGCTTCCCAGCTTCCCTCTGTCTCCAGGGGAAGCACCTTGTTCCCTCCCCAGACATTGGCCAACCTCTCTTCTCTTATTCTCTGTTCTCAACAGAAGATGGAAAGGCAGCTATTTATTTGTTTGTCCATCCTAAAGAGCCAAAGCCACTGAATTAGGTCCTTTAAGAGTATTTGGATTTTAAAACTGTTATAACTTTACAGGGAAAGTCTTTATGCTGACAAACACATTTAGGCAGTGGCCATCGTGTGAAAGGAATTTGGTGCTGATTCACTGATGCTGCCATCTCTCTGGACGGTGATTAACAAAAGGCCTCTGAGCTTACCTTCAGGGTCATAGAAGGAAAGGGAGGCTGGCACTAATGCCTCATGCCCTGTATCCCTGAAAGGAACTTCAGGGATGAGCAATGACAGATTTAACAAGTAGAGAAAGCCCACTGAGTCTCTAGGGGCTAAGGTACCCCCCCCCAAAAAAAGAATCTGGGAAGCAGCCAGAGCCTGAGACTGACGTCCCTAAGCCTCAATCCCAACCCTACACATGCACATTTGCCCTAGCCTGATCTCAGACTGTAAATGTAAAGGCTCAAGCCCTGTGGCTCTTAAAACCTGCCCCAAGACCAAAAGGAGCTGTCCTCAAGTCCTACAACCACAGTCCACTTTCCTCTTTCTTCCACTGAAAACACCAAATGGGAAAAGCTGTCCTTACCTCGTAATGAGCCACACGCTGAGATTCGGATATCAGCTGTGCACTGCACACCTTGCAGTAACTGTCTGTAAATAAATCCTGATCGATATCGGAGGACTTCATCAGGCTAAAGGAGAATCAACAGAAAAGAAAAATGAGTCCACTGCTTTGATGTTTATGCAGGACATTAATTGTGTGAAAAAGCCAGGAGCACAGTAACAGACCCCAGGATGGTAGCAGTGGGGGAGACCTCCCTACACCTTAGGTGATACCATGTCAGTTAACCACAGTAAGTGTAGAGTGTAGAGTTTATAATATTCTCATAAGTGCTCAGTAGAATTGCTGGTACCCTACGAAACAGAAATGCACCTTTAGTTTTCTCTTTCTGACAAATCAAACTTATATCTAATGCACTGCCAAGGATTTATGTGAGAGGATATTTTCATATGTGATTTATATTAACAAAATATTGTACGTGCTCAATATATGCAACATAAAGAGACTGTATGTCTAGCATCCACATGCTAGAATATGAAGTGCCTCCCAAATCCAAATGCAAATCAAATTCTTCTTTAAGAGAACATTTAATGAAATAGGAAAAACCATTAACAAAAGGGTTTACAAATCAGTACATACAGTATTATACTAAATTTGTTTTAAAATATGTATAGGTGCAAAGAAAAGTATCCCAGGAAGCTTTTTTTTTAAGATTTTATTTATTTATTTGACAGAGAGAGAGAGAGCACAAGTAGGCAGAGCAGCAGGCAGAGGGAGAGGGAGAGGCAAAAGCAGGCTCCCTGCCAAGCAAAGAGCCCAACGTGGGGCTCGATCCCAGGGCCCTGGGATCATGAGCCGAGCAGAAAGCAGCCATTCAACCAACTGAGCCACCCAGGAGCCCCAGTGCCAGGAAGTTTTAGCAAGGTGTTAATAGCAGTTATCTTTCAGAGATTATAGGTAATCATTTATGTAATTTTGTTTATTTTTTAATTTTCTACAATGAACACATACTACTTTTGTAATACATGGAAACAAGTTAGCTTTGTCAAGAACCTTATAAGCAATATAAAATTTAGTTTTGAGTTCAATAGCTATCCTTACAGAATTAAAAAATAAAATCAGGCTCAACTATAACTTTTCTTGCAAGCTTGTATCTTTTAAAGTGAGGAGCCCTCGGGGCTCCTGGGTGGCTCAGTTGGTTAAGCGACTGCCTTCAGCTCAGGTCATGATCCCAGGGTCCTGGGATCG